ACCCCGAGTCCCCTCCTGCACCCAAACTCCCTGAGCCCCCTCCAGCACCCCAACTTCCTGCCCCATCCCTGAGCCCCCTCCAGTACCTATACTCCCTCCCAGAGCTGGCACCCCGCATCCTCTTCTGCACCCCTACCCCAGGCTCAGCCTGGAGCCCCTCCCACATTCCGAACCCCTCCGCCCCAGCCCAGAGCGTGCATCCCCCCTGCTCCCCAACCCTCTGCCTCAGCCCGGTGAGGGTGGGGGAGAGCAAGTGACAGAGGGAGAGGGGATGGAGTGAGTAGGGCAGGGCCTCGGGGAAGGGCAAGGGTGTTTGGGTTTTTGTGATTAGACAATTGGCAACCCTAGGATTCTTGTTTTCTAATATTTGTGTCCTTCCAAAAGAAAAGTGATTCTAAAACTTCATGCACAATTAAATAGCATTCAAATATAATGTATAAGATAATCAAAACAAACCAATCTTATTTTCAAAAATCAGCTTTTAGTTGTTTGCAGAAGGAATGTAATAAAATCTATAGTGGCTCTGAATTTTTTTAGAATGGAAGTTTTGCTAACGTTACTACTGTATCTCTGAAGTAAAATTATAATTAGGAAGATGAAGATTCAGAAACCTATTTATTTAGAAGTATGGAACTGAGTAGGTGAAGGAAGGTAAACATTTAAGAGTCTCAAATGTTCACGTTGTCAGTGCATTGAGGTAGTTAAAATCTCCCAGAATCTTTCGTATTCATGCTCAGCATTATTGTGGAAATTCACTAGTATTTAAATTGTTGTAATCTCTCTTCTTTGTATATGCAGAATCTGTCAAAAGCAAGATGTATGTTCTGTTGAAGTTTGCTAATAATGCACTTTGTGCTAGGTACGTACCGTTAGTGCAGATGGCTCCGCGGTTTATTTTCATCTGGACTGTTATGTACAAAGCTAGAAAAAGTTTAAGGTGTGTGGTAATACAATTGAAAATTCCAGTTTCCATCTGTCATAAACAAGTGGAAAATAAAGATGAGCAGAATTAAGCTTATAAAGTTGGAACAGAGGGGAAAATGTAACTGTTGTAAGAGTAAAAAGAACGAGGAGTACTTGTGGCACCTTAGTCTAACAAGTTTATTTGGGCATAAGCTTTTGATGAATTGCCACTTTTAGGTCTGTAATTGAGCGTCCAGGGAGGTTAAAGTGTTCTCCAAATGGTTTTTGAATGTTATAATTCTTGATGTTTGATTTGTGTCCATTTATTCTTTTGCATAGAGACTGTCCAGTTTGGCCAATGTACATGGCAGAGGGGCATTGCTGGCACATGATGGCATATATCACATTGGTAGATGTGCAGGTGAACGAGCTACTGATGGTGTGGCTGATGTGATTAGGTCCTGTGATGGTGGACAGAGTTGGCAATGGGGTATGTTGCAAGGATAGGTTCCTGGGTTAGTGTTTTTGTTGTGTGGTGTGAAGTTGCTGGTGAGTATTTGCTTCAAGTTGGGGGGGCTGTCTGTAAGTGAGGACTGGTCTGTCTCCCAATGTCTGTGAGAGTGATGGATTGTCCTTCAGGATAGGTTGTAGATCCTTGATGATGCGCTGGAGAGGTTTTAGTTAGCACAGCCTCCCCCCTCCCTCCACCTCCTGCCCACAGCAATCAGCTGTTTCGCAATGTTCAGGAGGCCGGCGGGGGGGGGAGGAGCGAGGACGCGGCACTGCGGGCAGGAGGCACGGGGAAGGAGCAGGGAGTTGCTGATCTGCTGGGTGGGTTGGAGGGGACCTAATGGAGGGTTGCTGGCCCACCCTTGTTCCAAGCCCCCACCTGCTAACAGGCGGCGGCCAAACAATGTTATATGCAAACATTGCACAACTTTTAATGAGTATGTTCTCTAATAGATCAGCAACGAAACAGCATTAACTGAGACAACATTAAGTGAGGAGTTACTGTACTCACTCATTGAGTAGTGCTACAACTTCTGGGGGCAAATTTTGTGATTCTTAGCAATGTAGAAATTTAAGCTGTTCTATGAATTATTTCTTAGTGCATTGTGGGAGAACTTGTCTGTCCTTTCTGGGAACATGGGGAAAATTGTTGGAAGGTATTGGACTAATGGTGGCACCACAGTAAAGCTAGCCTGCATCCACACTGCAATAGTTATACAGTTGATGAGCTATGCTCCTCTTGGGCCTGACATTTTGAGTTAAGAGCCCCGCTGCATTCTAATTAAGGGGTTTTATGTGTGATGATGACTCAAGTATAACTCAAGTTAACTTTGCAGTGAAGCAAGGCCAAAGACATGTTAGACCTTTGAGTTCTGCTGGACAGTGCGTGAGTTTTAATTTAATCAATAGAAAAGGGTTCAAGCATATGCATCATGAGGACATGTTCCTGTTATGTGCATTGGGCTCCATTTAACTCTTCCATGTATGTAAAAATTGCTTTTCAGACAAGCTTTACAGCATTCATGTGGGATGAGCAATGTTATTAGAGACAAATTTGGGTGAGGTAATATCTTTCATTGGACCACCTTTTAGTAGTATAACAACACTAGTGGCTTGCCCATGAGGCGGGTGTGTGTACATATACATATACAAAAATATAAAAGCACCTAAGATTAAGCTCTCCAAAGGAAGTTAAAGATTTCATGCAATAACCACTCTCTGAAAGTCATTAAGGACATTGTGTGAGCTAAATCACAGTCCTTTGTGCATGTGGTTAGACCTTTCTAAGCTGCCTTTGTGTTGCAGAGTTGCTGTGTAAAAGTGTTGATGGCTCAGCTTTCAGGCCTTATGGTCTCCATGAGCAGTGTGGGATTAGGACTTTCTCAGCCCTGGGCTACACTACAGAATTACTTCAGTATAACTGTCGCTCAGGGGGTGTGAATAATCCACACCTCTGAATGACCGTAGGTATACTGACCTAAGCGCTGGTGGAGACAGCGCTATGTTGGCGGGAGAGCTCTCTCACCAACATAGGTACTACCTCTCATGGAAGTGGAGTTAAGTCAACGGGAGAGCTTCCTCCCATTGGCTTAGAATGTCTGTGCCAGAAGTGCTACCGCAGAATAGTTGCATTGGTGCAGCTGTGCCACTGCAAGTTTGTAGTGTACACCTGCCCTCACATGTAGAAGTGCAGGGGTGTTTAGGGAGAGAAAGATTCTCAGAAATTGTTAAGCAGTTACATTGATGAGTGTCCTGGAAACAGAGATACTTTACTTGAGGTTTCTGCACGAGAGAGTTGTTTATGTGTCATTTACTGCCCCCATTCAAGGAAATAGGATTGGTGTGCGTTTTGTATAAACAAGTTACCTGAAGAAAATACCTGACTCTGCATCACCAATTTCCGCTCCAAACAGAAAACTGACCTACAAGGTCCTGATTTCTGCTCTGCTTGGCGAAAGGTCAACAGCATTATATCTGTGGGGATAATGGATAGGGTGACTAGCTCATGTTTACTTAGGCCTTGTGTACACTAGAAAGGGTTTCCTGGGATAGCTGTTCTGGTCATTGGTAGGGATAGCTGTTCTGGTCATTGGTAGGGATAGAATCTAGGAGCCTGACTATCCAAACCATGAGTCACCACTGCTTGACCTAAAGGAGCTATTTGGTTAGGGGTAAATAAGCCTTCATCAAACAGACCCAATTACTACAGGGAGACATGATTGTACACGCTAAGAGCAGGTCGATACTGTCAAGTTTAATTTGGAGAGGTGTCTTTCAGGAGTGTGAAAAAACGGTACCCCCTGTCAACACAGCCATGCCACCAAAAACTCCAGTTTAGATGCAACTATGCTGGCAGAAGAGTGCTTCTGTCAGCATAGCTAATGTTGTTCGGAAAGGTGATGTTACAATGCTGGTGGAAAAACTCCATCTGTCAGTGTATGCTATGTCTGCACTAGGGGGCTCCCCTGTTATAGCTATACTGGCAAAGCATTTGTAGTATAGACAAAGCCTAAGCCAGTGTATTGCTCCTCTTGGTGGCTGCCCCCAGTAAGAATAAGTGCTTGTTACATACCTAAAGCTAAAGATTACTCTTTTAGCTCAAGTGGTTGAGGCTTGTGCTGGAGAGCTGAGGTTTGGTTCCTCTGATGACCTCTAGTGTCAGTGGGCATGTAATTGTAGTTTGTTGCATGTAATATGCATGGTGGAATTCTGCGCCAAAAAATTAAATTCTGCACACAATATTTTAAAATTCTGCAAAATTGTGTTATTTTGACAAATAAAATATGCAGAATATAATCACACCAGTTTCAATTATTTTTGATCATTTATTTCAAAATACCTGTCAGCAAGTATGTCTGTAGCAATACAGACAACAAAAAAGATTCAGGAAATGTTTTTTGACAAAGAGATTCCTTACTAGGCATATTAATACAGAACTCTGAGTAATAATTCATTTAAACTACAATACAGAACTGTATTTCCTGCACTCCTCAGAAGCAGTGCAAAGGCTTGAGGGAGTTAGGGGTAACGGAGGAGCTGAGGGAGAGGGAAGTAAATTGCTGGGAGTGAACTTGGGAGGGCTGTTGGGTATGGGTGGGAAAAGTATGGAACAGTTTTTTTTAGGGGGGGGGGGAGTGGGGAGGGATTGTTAGGGAGCTTCCCCCATTCAGACCCTGGCTGACCCCTAGCCTCCCCCATTCAGTCAGGCACATCTGCCCCCGTCCCCATGTGTGTCTGTACCCTCACCCAGCCACTCCCCTGGCTCTATGTAGCTCTGTACCCCTGTGACGGGTTGGATCACAGAAACCCCCTGGGAGTTGCCACCTGATGTGCCCAGACTACTTCTGCCCCTGCTTTCCCTGCCAGCTCAGGACTCCAGTTAATTAATAAGTAAAAAGTAAAAATATTTTATTAAATACAGAAAGTAGGATTTAAGTGGTTCCAAGCAGTAACAGACAGAACAAAGCAAGTCACCAAGCAAAATAAAATAAAAGCGCAAATCTATGTCTAATCAAACTGAATACAGATAATCTCAGCCTCAGATATGCTTCAGTAAGTTTTTTTCCTCAGACTGGACACGCTCCAGGCCTGGGCACAATTCTTTCCCCTGATACAGCTCTTGTTCCAGCTCAGGTGGTAGCTAGGGGATTCTTCATGATGGCTCCTCCTCTCTTTGTTCTGTTCCACCCTTTATATATCTTTTGCATATGGCGGGAATCCTTTGTCCTCTCTGGGTTCCCACCCCCTCCTTCTCAATGGAAAGACACCAGGTTAAAGATGGATTCCAGTTCAGGCGACATGATCACATGTCACTGCAAGACTTCATTGCCCATTTGCCATTACACACGTATACAGGAAGGTAAACACAGCCATCTGCAGACCATTGTCCTGGTTAATGAGTCATCAAAATTCCAATCCACCATTAATGGCCCACACTTTGCATAATTACAGTAGGCCCTCAAAGTTGTATTTCGTATTTCTAGTTTCAGATACAAGAGTGGTACATTTATACAAATAGGATGATCATACTTAGTAGATTATAAGCTTTGTAATGATACCTTACAAGAGACCTTTTGCATGAAGCATATTCCAGTTGCATTATATTCACTCATTAGCATATTTTTAAAAAGCATATAGACTGCAACGTCACAACCCCCTCCCCATGTGACTCTGCCCTCACCCAGCCACTCCCCTGTCTGTCCCTGTACTCTTCTCCCATTACCATGTCTCTGTGCCCTCAACCAGCCACTCCCCTGTACCCCTCTCCCTGACCTCATGCGTCTGTGCTCTCACCTAGCCACTCCCCCATCCCTATGTGTCCATGTACCCCTCCCCCTGTCCCCACTCATCTCTGTGCCCCCACTCAGCCACCCTATGTAGCTCTGCACCTCCCTCAGGAGTAATATAAGATTCTCCAAAAAAGAGAAACCAACTTCATAGGATGACCGTGAGGACTCTAGTCCAGAACACAGCATAACAACAAGAGCTAAATCTTGCTGATCATGTCACTTTCTTGAAGAATGTTGATGTTAAAAAAAAAAAAAATCTGAAGAATATTTCCAAGATTTAAGTATGGTAATTTGACATATTTGTTGTATTAAAATAGCTACAGTAAATGGCACAGTATTTAATAGATACTGTCTTTCACCTTATATTGAGGAGGGAAACAAACTGAGCTAACACTAACCTTTTGTTTTTGTTTTTTGTTTCAGCTTTGTCCAAAGTTCTTGCACACAAATTCTACCAGTCACACTTGGCCGTTCAGTGCAGTTGCAGAACTTATAGGTATCAGCACTTCATTTATTGAATATTTGACCTCTTTGTTTTTGTTTAAATTGTGCAGTGACTTTGACATTAAAAGTTAAATTCAGCTAAAATAATTATTGTAATTGAAAGTGGAGGGGAAATAAGGTTTTAAATTTTGATTCTATAGTACATAGAGAGCAATCAAAAGTTTCAGTTTAATCATATTTAAAACTTCCTTGCATGTGTTTAATACTGTGTATTATAATTTAAAAATAAACTGTTTTTTGCCCTGTATGCTATTTGTGGTTTATTTTGTTTAGAAGTAGATCTGTCAGGTTCACTTGCAATAGTGCAGTGGTATAATTTAAGTTTTGAACATTGCTAGGGAAATGTTCAAATTTAAGACTTTTTTTCTCATTTAAAATACATAAAACCATTTCTTAGACTTTTGTTCAATTTTCAATAGCAAAACCTAAATGTTGGACCTGTCTACTTGTAATAAGAGATACTTGTCAATAAGCCAAACTGCACTTTGCTTTTATATCTTTGTTCACAGTTTCTAGTTTTATAAAAGCTAGAAGTTTGTGTTAGAATGACCTTTTTTAAGTACATTTTTTCAGAATAGTTTGTATCTCATATTTGGTTGTCCAACAAGAAAATATTTTATAGCCTTATTTGTTAGCCATGTGCCTCCTTTTCCTGAACTGCAGTACAGCTTAGTTAGGAGCATAGCTGGTTGAGAAGGACTAAAGAGAAACTTAGGAGTAAGGTGAATGGGAGAAACTGCCCATTTCTACTGCCATTTAGTGGTGGTTTGAAGGAAACTGAGGCCAATCTTAATTTTTAGCATCTGGTTTTGTATGAAGATCAGTCATTGCAATCTAGATTTTTAAAAATAGGTTAGCCATTTCCCTAATAGGCAGCAAATTAGTAACATTTTGTTTATACAAGGTACTGGAAAACAAGATTTTTTTTTCTTCCTTTTTTGATTATGATGACGTCTTCAGTGGAATTTTACATATGATATATCTTGAACTATAAATAGGGGCAGTATTGTAGAGGGCATAGTTTGGGGGCTGTGTGTATCGAAATTATTAATATAGGATACTACCATGACACCAAGTCAATCATAAATTCCTTTATTAAATCTGAAGGCCCAATGGTATTTCTGCAATTGCTCTAAATATGTCTAAAAGCCTAAACAATAAATATACAAACAGTAACCACACTTATGAGCATTTGATTACAAATATTTACAAAAGGGCTTACAGGAATGCTTATACCCATATTGGTTGGCTCCAACTTGTTCAGGCAGGTATTAGCAATGAACCCTTAGAGTTTACTTTTTTTAATACCCTTTAATGAACAAGTGATGTCATTGCCAAGTATTTGACCTTAGCTAAGGCCAGATGAAGCCGTTTTTTATAATATATTAAACAAACTTATATAGACAATTACTTACTGTACCTGGTACCCAGTGAACCAGGTTTTACTTATATTATTTCAGCACAAACCTTAAATAATAGAACACTGGTATTTTGAAGGGTCACTGAAAGTTTAACACAACTCTTTTTATGATCTCATTCTTTTTGACCACATGCATTGGGCATATTGCACATGTTTAAAACCATAGTTCACCCAAGTCTAATGTGAGCTGATATTCCTGCTAGGGGGTGGAGTGGTGTTAATCTTGTATTTAAAATTGAGTCAATTTGGGGGACTGTTAATCAACTTTTACATATTTTACATATAATCTGATGACTTCATCAAAGAGATGAAAATAAAACTAAAATGCATTTCTAATTCTAGAATTGACATTCATCAAGTACGTCTTCAACGTATGGTTTTTGTTTCAGGGTCTATGCTAATTTTTAAACAAAGTAGCAAAATCTCGCTGTTCAGTGCTTTGCAAAACTGTATGCGCGAGTCATAAGGAAAAAATTGTATCCCCTCACCCCAAATTAGAATTTGTGGCAGATGCTGTAATGAGGTATTGTATTACTACAATTTAATTTTGCAAAGTACCACTGTATATTTACACTGTGAAGAAATGTACATAATTAAAATTGACAAAATAAATTGATAAAGGACATCTTTGTTATGCACCTTTGCTTTTACATGTTTGTTCACTCACAAATTCAGAATAGGCCTTAATGCAAATTACTAAAATTCGGCAGGGTTTACATTTAATCAAGGTGGTAGGTTCATTCCAGTGGCTGCTCATCAGCATTGCCAGCAATAGTTTAAGTGGTTCCTAAATGTCAGATCCTCATTAATCTTTGGAAAGGCCTTTTGTTTGAAAGCTACTTGGCAACCAGCACTCATAGTTTAACCCGACATCTTTCTTAGTGATTAGTGATGGAAAATCATCAGCAAACAGCACAGAAAAAATGGTGGCTGTCCATATGAGTGATGATAAAAATTGGTGTGTACTAAGTGGGGACTGTCCTTCAAGTTTGATCCTAAAACAGCAACTATAAGCCACTCATTTTGTAGACCTTGTACAATATTTTAACTTTTAAAAATGGCTTTAACTGATTTAAAAAGAAGGGTCGGAGAAAGAAGTGTATGGAATTTAATGTTTTATGGGGTAGAGATGGGACATGCTGAATCCACATACCTGGAAAATAATATTTTCATAGAAGGTTTTGGTATATAAGCCCTTCACCAGAATGATGTATTTTTGAATGTATGGATGCTATAGCATTTTAATTTATGCTTTTGTTAATTTCACACTTCCCTGATTTTCAGACAATGCTTATGATCCAGATGTGAATGCTAAACAGATATGGATAGACAAAACAGTAATAAAGGGCAACATATGTTTGACATTTACTGATAATGGAAATGGTATGACTTCAGAGAAATTGCACAAAATGCTCAGGTGGGTAACTGTTTTGTGGATATTTTTATGGTCTTCCACAATCATTCCAATTTCCAGTTTCAGATTTTAATGTTCTGCTCATTCCTACATATTTTTATATCAAATCTGCCAATGAATTTAGTACTTGTGAAAAGCAAGACTAGGATTAGTAGCTAGATCCAAACAATAGGCAGATGCTGGTCAAGTGTTCATCAAGATTGGCAGTACATTTTGTTCCTGAATCACCCATCTCCATTTGTCTGTTCCTGAGCCTATTTTGAGTCAGCGTCTATACAGAAATATGTGGTTTTGTAATGTCCGTAAGTGGAATAGGATAGGGGAAGAAGAGGAGGCCATACCTGCTAAACTCAGGTTTGTGTGAATATAAACCCAGGTAGCCAAAGTTGAAAGGTAGTTAACTCAGTGCTATTAACTGCCAACATGACCGTTCAGTTGTTTCTTAGTGGGTTATAGGTGAAATGTAATAGAATTCAGATTTTGCACATTGTTCAAAATTAAAGGTATTGTAGAAAAATTAATGGGATGAGGAATAACTAATGAACAGTTATATATTTTCTTTGTACATGTTTTTTTTCTAAGGTATTGTTTCTTGTGACTTAAGGGCTTAATGCTAAATTCACTGCACAACTACAGATCGTCACTTTTAATGAAATGTCTCCTTTGCCTCATTTACTAATGCAAAGTTGACTTTTGTTTACAAATAATTGAGAGAAGTGGAAAAACTGTTCACCAAGGTCCAGTTCAGTCTTTTAAAATATAATTGACTATTAGACTGCTTTGGGAGCTCTTTTTGTATAATTCCATACAGATGGAATACAGATATGCATCCGAAGAAGTGGGCTGTAGTCCACGAAAGCTTATGCTCTAATAAATTTGTTAGTCTCTAAGGTGCCACAAGTACTCCTGTTCTTCTTTTTCCATACAGATGATACCCCTTAGACATATTAAAAGATGGCAATAGATGACACTAGGGAGCAGTTTAGCATTATAACCTCAATCTGATCCTCAGCCTTTGTCTAGTTGTTGAGCAAATATTGCTTTTAGCTGTGTTGTAATCACTGATCTCAAAACTGGAGATTAACATAATCTGTTTAAACCTATTTTTATATCAACCTTTTGTGGGTTTACACTTTTTACAAAATATTCTTACAATGTGTTTCAGCTTTGGCTTCAGTGACAAAGTTACAATAAATGGCCGCGTTCCAGTGGGACTGTATGGAAATGGATTTAAATCAGGATCTATGCGCCTGGGAAAAGATGCGATTGTTTTCACCAAAAATGGAGAGACCATGAGTGTCGGCCTGTTATCTCAGACCTTCCTAGAAGCTACAAAGGCAGAACATGTCATTGTTCCGATAGTATCATTTAACAGGCAACATATCCTTTTGACTATTTTCAGACATAAAAAGTAGAGAACTTGCATGTGTAAAAGTAGGATAAGAGCAGCCTCTCAAGGGATGGAAATTGCAGTTGTGCTGATGTCCTCCTTATATATAAGGAGGGAGGAGGGCTATGGGGTTGGATAAAAGCAGTAAGCTAGCAGCATAACACGTGTCTGAGATACGTTAGGTGAGAAAGCCCTGAGTACTGTGGCTGTGCCAAAGAAGCTCACCTAGAAATTTATTTTAATTTGTGAAATGTTTAAGTCTTTAACTTAGTTCTTACGGCAAATAATTAATCCAGAATACAAAGCCAGCCTAAAGGCCATCCAGGCACATTCTTTGTTCTCTACTGAGGAGAAGTTACTGGCAGAGCTTGATGCTATCATGGGGAAAAAAGGAACAAGAATCATCATTTGGAACCTTAGAAGGTAAGATGAAGTCCAATGTCTGGTAACTTGTGAACTTAAAATAAGTGTTTACTATGCATGAGTTTGGTGGTAAGCAGCTAGACGTCTTGGTGGAACTACTCTCTAAAGCTAATGAGCATGAGTTGGTAGTAACTTAGTGGGAACATGTGGAATTGGACTGATGAATTTGAGAGATACAAGGTCATTCATCCACTACCACTGAACTATCTCGACAGAGCAAATAAAATAGCCAGAGGCAAAGGGACTAAAGTCAGGTCTATACTGTGTTCTGCTGGCATAGCTATGTCTGTTAGTTATGCCAGCAAAAAACCCTGTGTTTGACAGTTAATACAGGCAAAAGACGTTTGTTGGTATAGCTTATGTCCTTTGAGGAGGTAGCTTAACTGTGCCAGCAAAAGAATTACTTTGCTAGAATAAGTTGGATCTTTACTAGAGAGATTTGTTGGTACTGTTGTACCAGAAAAGCTTTGGCAGTTGTAAACTAGCCCTAAAATGTGGTATCTTGCTAAATCCTATCTGTTTTAATATTTTAATGGCTGTTTGAGACACCAGGCAGCTCCTTAACTAAACTTTATTGTGCCTAGCAGTAGTCTACTTAAAATGCCTGGAACTTTTCAAGTTTAATTCTAGTTTGTTGACTCTTACATTATCTAATCCAGAATTTTCCCACACAATTTACCATAGCAAAATAAAAGGCTTACTTAGTCATATTCTCAAAGTCAGTATTAATTAGTCACATTCTCAAAGTCAGTAGAAATTAGAGAACATTGTTAGGTCAACTTCTCCATCCACGTGCCTCTGCAGGATTGGGCCCTATAGAATCATAGAAATGTAGGACTGGAAGGGACCTCAATAGGTCGTCTAGTCTAGTCCCCTGAACTCAAGGCAGAACTAAGTAATAAGTAGACCATTCCTGACAGGTGTTTGTCTAACCTGTCCTTAAAAACCTCCAATGAGAGAGATTCTCAAATCTTCCTAGGAGATTTGTTCCAGTGCTTAACTACTCTGACAAGAAGTTTTTCCTAATGTCCAACCTAAAGTGCCCTTGCTGCAATTTAAGCCCATTGCTGCTTCTCCTATCTTTAGAGGTTAAGGGGAACAATTTTTCTCCCTCCTCCTTGTAACAATCTCTTTTGTACTTGAAAACTGTTAACATATTTCCCCCCTCCCCCGTCTTCTCTTCTCCAGACTAAACAAACCCAATTTTTTTCAATCTTCCCTAATAGGTCATGTTTTCTAGATCTTTAATCATTTTTGTTGCTCCCATAGACTTTAAGGTCAGAAAGGACTATCATGGTCATCTAGTCTGACCTCCTGTACTTGCAGGCCGCAGAACCTGCCCCACCCACCTGGGAAAGAATTCTCTGTAGTAGTTCAGAGCCCTCCCCATCACTGGCCATTGGAGATAATTTGCTGCTAGCAGTCGCAGATCATTGGCGTACCATTGTATGCTGTCTCATCGTACTATCCCCTCTAAACTTACCAAGCTCAGTCTTGAAGCCAGTTCGGTATTTTGCCCCTTCTGCTCCCCTTGGGAGGCTGTTCCAGAACGTCAGTTCTCTGATTAGAAACCTTTGCCTAATTTCAAGCCTAAATTTGTTGATAGCTAGTTTATAGCCTGTTCTCTCTTCTGGGCTTTCTCCAATTTGTCCACATATTTTCTGAAATGTGGTGCCCAGAACTGGACAAAATACTGCAGTTGAGGCCTAATCAGCGCAGAGTAGAGCAGAAGAATTATTTCTTCTGTTGTGCTTACAATACTGCTAATACATCCCAGAATGATGTTTGCTTTTTTTGCAAGTGTTACACTGTAGACTCATTTAGCTTGTGATCCACTGTAACCCAGAGATCTCTTTGCACAGTACTCTTTTCTCGGCAGTCATTTCCAATTTGTATGTCTGCAGTTGATCCTTCCTAAGTGGAGTACTTTGCATTTGTCCTTACTGATTTTCATTCTGTTTATTTCAGACGATTTCTCCAGTTTGTCCAGATCATTTTGAATTTTAATCCTATCCTCCAAAGCACTTGCAAACCTTCCCAGCTTGGTATCGTCTGAAAACTTTAAGTGTACTCTCTATGCCATTATCTAAATCATTTATGAAGATATTGAACAGCACTGGACCCAGGAAGGATCCCTGTAGGACCTCACTTGATATGCCCTTCCAGCTTGACTGTGAACCACTGATAACTATGGTCTGGGTCTGTAATTCCCCGGGTTGTCTCTATTCCCCTTTTTGTAGATTGGCACTGTATTTGCCTTCTTCCAGTCTGGAATCTCTCCCATCTTTCATGAGTTTTCGAAGATAATAGCTAATGACTCAGATGTTTCCTCAGTCAGCCCCTTGAGTATTTTAGGATGTATTTCTGTAGTAGTATTGTTAGGATTCATTTAGAACAAATGAATGTCATTGCAATGTTACCTGGTAAATATTAGAGAACTGTGATTAAAAAGGAACATCTCCTTGAGGAAACCATACTTTAGAATCGCCAACTGAAATAAACTTGCCTGCTAAGATGTTTTTCCTCTTCCATCCCTCTGTGGTTTCCTGCCTTCTTCAGTAATTGTGTTGGGTTATTTATTTAGTTAATTAAAAAGTAAACAATTTAATATAAATTAAAAATGATAATTTATTCTATTTATATTTTGGACTTCCTTCCACAGAGATAAAGATGGAGAAACAGAGCTCGATTTTGATAAGGATAAATACGACATCAGAATTCCAGAAGATTTAGATGAAGCAACAGGGAAAAGAGGGTATAAAAAACAAGAGAGACAGGACCAGATTGTGCCCGAAAGTGACTATTCGTTACGGGTAGGTATGCTGTTAAAATATTTCTTTTCAATGAGAATGATTATACTACAGCAGCAGTGGCCATAAAATATTTTAAAGCCAATCCATTTGCTTTTGAAGTATGTCTGCGATGCTTCTCCGGGGTGCCCAGGATTGTGAAGCACCTAACAACAACCTGCCCTTAGTGTGAGGAAGCCTTGTTCTGTGCCTGCTGTGTGTCAGCTCCCTGACTCCGCCGGTCATGGGCAACACAAGCACTCCCCTCTCAGCCTATGCTTGCTCTGCTGTCTCTCTGCAGATTAGTGATAGATGTGGTCCAACCTCCAAGCCCATGAATGTCTTCCTAGTGCCCAGCCTCTGTTCCACTGGAAACTCTCAGTATTTACAGTTTTGGTGCTCTCAGCTGCAGTACACTGCAGTTTCCAGTTATACCTCCGATCACTGTTCTGTTTAACAGACAGCGCTTAGATATTTTTATATTGTAAACTAGCAAAAGTTTATTTAACAAAGGAAAGAGATTCAAGGGATAGCAAGTAGAAGTATTGGAAACAAATAGTTACATATAAAATAAAATCATAATGCATTTAGAACCTAGACTTATTTAACTATTTAGTCTAGAATCTAGACTTGTTTAATGCCTTGTAAAGCAAAGTTCACCCCCAAAGACCTTTCACTATTTTTCAACCAACCCTGGTGGTGCTCCTTTTTGCACGAGGCAAGCCACACTATCAGCTTGTCTCCTCAGTGAAGGAACAGTCCGTCTCCTTGCCACCACTTGCAAACCTGCCTGCGGCCAGGGGAAGTGGCTGGGAGTGCCAAGGCCATGCCCCTGTTGCAAGGGCAGGACACAGCCCGGAGAGGACAGGGAGAGGTATCATGCAGCCCCCCCATCATCTAGGCAGCAGCAGCAACCCTGCCTGCAGCCCACCCTGGCGCCTGGGCTCCACACATCCTAGCACTTCTGTCCCTAACTGCAGCCCTGCAAACCTGCCTGTGCCTGGGTCTTTCCATGTGAAATGGCAGTGCTGGGAACCCGTGGAGCTGCAGGCAAAAAAAGTCAATAAGTGGCAAACCTGTTGCCAATGTCCAGACCAATTCCAGTTCAAATCAATTAGTTCCAGGCAAAATGTTTAACAGGAAGTAATTATCAGGGTTGTTGTTATGCAGCATTTATTCTATATAGTGAGAGAGGATGTATTATAAACCATTCATGTTGGTTTGCATAATAGAAATTACCATGTGTTTTGCAGGCTTACAGCAGTATTTTGTATTTGAAGCCAAGAATGCAAATCATTATCAGAGGACAAAAAGTGAAAACGCAGCTGATTTCCAAAAGTCTTGCATACATTGAACGTGATATTTATAGACCAAAATTTTTGGCTGTATCCTTTACTGATTCGTACATCATTGCATGCTGAATGGGAAGACATGATGTCAGTAGGCTGTCAATTCTGTGACAAAATGTTGTGTTGCAGATATCCATGTTAAGATGCTATACCAAACCTAGGGGCTGATGGAATTGTTCCAGTTTGAAGTATTGGCTTATTTTTGAATGAACTTTCAGTATGAAGAAACTCTTGGGTGATCAAATTATCCTTAACATCCCAAAACAAGGCTAAAACTGTAAGAATCACCTTTGGATTTAACTGCAGAAACAAAGACCATTATGGAATAATGATGTATCACAGAAACAGACTCATCAAAGCTTATGAAAGGGTTGGTTGTCAATTAAAGGTAAGACTTCAACCTTGAAAAAGTTAATATTTGTGAATTAGAAACTACACCTCTACCCCGATATAACGCGACCCTATATAAACATGAATTCGGCTATAACGCGGTAAAGCAGCGCTCCGGGGGGGGGCTGCGCACTCCGGCGGATCAAAACAAGCTCAATATAACGCAGTTTCACCTATAATGCAGTAAGACTTTTTTTGGGGGGCTCCCAAGGACAGCGTTATATCAGGGTAGAGGTGTAGTTTAATTCAAACCAGTTTACCTAATTTGTTTAATCGAGTAATTTAATAGTAATAATACTGAATTTTAAAAAACGTTATATTTTGATGCAGCTTTTGTAAAATCCTTGGTTTCTGTAGTGTCAATGCATCAGTTTAATACTGAAAGTTGTACTAAGCACTTAATCATAAATAATTGCTTTAGAACTAACCTTGATGTACAAAGTGTAGACATGAATGTGTCACTTTTAAGAGAAAGGAGGGACTCGAGAATCATAGCAATGTAGGGCTGGAAGGGATCTCAAAGTAATCAGTCCTGCTCCTGGTGCTGAGTCAGGTAAAGTGAAACCTAGCCCATTCATGACAAGTTATCCAATCTGTTCTTAAACCTCCAGTAATAGGGATTCACAACCTTCCCTATACCAGAGGTTTAACTACCCTTGTAGACAGAAAGTTTGTCATAATATTTAACCTAAAACTCCCTTGCTTTAGTTCAAGCCCATTGCATCTTGTCCTGCCTTCAGTAGACATGAACAATTGATCAGTCCTCTTTATAACAGCCTTTAACATACTTGAAGACTTCTCAGGTCTCCCCCCCCACCCCCCCAATATTCTTTCCTCAAGAGGACATGTCCAGTTCTTTAAACCTTTCCTTATAGGTTCTAAACCTTCTATCATTTTTGTTGTTCTCTGGACACTGTCTCCAATTTGTCCACATCTTTTCTAAAGTGTAGCACCTAGAATCGGACACAGTACTCCAGCTGAAGCCTCCCAAGGGCTAAGTAGAGTGAGACAGTTACCTACTGTGTCTTACGTACAACACTGCTGTTAATACACCCCAGGATATTAGCGTTTTTCACAACTGCATCACATTGTTGACTGATATTCAGTTTGATCCACTACAACTCCCAGATCTTTTTCTCCAGTACTACTGCCTAGCCATCTATTCCCCACTTTTGTAGTTGTGCATTTGATTTTTTCCTTCCTTAGTAAGGTACTTTGCACTTGTCTTTATTGAATGTCATCTTGTGTGATTTCAATTCTCCAATTTGTTATGATCATTTTGAATTATAATCCTGTCCTCCAAAGTGCTTATAAACCCTCCTAGCTTGCTGTCATGATTGTTCTATAAGCATACTGTCCACTCCATTATCCAAGTCATTAATGAAAATATTGAATAGGACCAGACCCAAGACTGACGCTTGTAGGACACTACTAGATATGTCCTTCCCATCTGACAGTGGGCCATTGATAACTACTCATTGAGTACAGTATTTCAACCACTTTTGCGCCCATCTTACAGTAATTTCATGTAGACCCCATTTGCCTAGTTAGCTTATGAGAATGGTCATGTGGGACTGTCAAAAGCCTTAATAAAAATCAAGTGATATCACATCTACTACTTCCCCCAATCCACTAGGCTAACAACCCTGTCAAAGAAGTAAATTAAGTTGGTTTGACATGATTAGTTCTTAATAAATCCATGTTGGTAATTACTTGTAACTCTATTGTGCTTTAGGTACTTATAGGTTGATTGTTTAATAATTTGTTCCAGTATCTTTCTAGGTATCAAAGTTAGGCTGACTGGTTTATAATTCCCCAGGTTCTCCTTGTTTCTGCCTTTTAAAAATAGGCAATATGTTTGCCCTTCTTCAGTCCTCTGGGACCTTACCCACCCTCCATGTGATCTTGAAGATAATTGTTAATGATTTAGAGGTTGCTTCAGCTTCAGCCTTAAGTTACCTGTAGAATGAATTTCATAAAGCCCTCTGATTTGAATACATCTAACATATCTAAATATTCATTAACTTGTTCTTTCCCTATTTTGGCTTGTATTCTTCCCCCTGGTTAATATTAATTGTGTTGTATCTGGTCACTGTTAACTTTTTTAGTGAAGATTGAAGCAAAATAGGCATTAAACATCTCAGCCGCCTTGATATCAGTTATTAGCTCTTCTTCTCTGACAAGTAGAGGACCTACACTTTCCTTGGTCTTTCTCCTGCTCCTAATGTATTTAAAAAACCTCTTCGTCTTCTATATCTCTCTCTAGGTGTAATTCATTTTGTCTCTTAACCTTTCTGATTTTCTCCCTATATGCTTGATAAATTGCTAAGTACAAAAGAATACCACAAAGTTTCCACTTTCTGTAGGATTCTTTTTTGATTTTCAGGTGATTAAAGAGTTCCTGATGGAGCCATGTTGATACCTTACTATTACTCCTCTTTCCTTCACATCAGGATAGCTTGAAGTTGTGCCTTTAATGTTGTCTCCTTGAGAAACTGCCAGTTCTCTTTTAGATTTTTCTTCCCCGGGGGACATTACCTACCAGTTCTCAGAGTATATTTAAAAAAAATAAAGGCAGATTTTACGTCCATTGTCCTTTATAGAATCATAGACATTTAGTCCTGGAGGGGACCTCAAAGTCATTAAGTCCAGTCCCCTATGCTGTGCCAGGACCAAGTAAACCTAGACCATCCCTGACAGGTGTTTGTCCAACTTGTTTTTAAAAGCTTCCAATGATGGGGACTCCATGACCTCCCTTGGAATGCTATTCCAGGGTTTAACTTCCTTTGTCGTTAGAAAGCTTTTCCTATTTCCCTTGCAGTAGATTTAGCCCCTATTTGTCCTACCTTAGGTGGACGTGGAGAACAGTTGATCACTGTCCTCTTTATAACAGCCCTTAACATAATTGAAGACTCTCAGGTCCTCTCTCAGCCTTTTCTCATGACCAAACATGGCCAGTTTTTTAACCTTTCCTCATAGGTCAGGTTTTCTAAACCTTTTTATCATTTTTGTTGCTTTCCTCTGGACTCTTCCCAATTTGTCCACGTCTTTTTTCCAAAGTGTGGTACCCAGAATAGGACACATTACTCCAGTTGGGGCCTCACCAGTGCCGAGTAGAGTAGGATAATTACCTCCTGTGTCTTGAATGCAACAGTCCTGTTAATACACCCCAGAATCATATTAACCTTTTTTGCAGCTGCATCACATTGACAACTGTTTGTGGTCCACTGTAACCCCAAGGTCCTTTTCAGCAGTACTACTACCTAGATAGTTATTCCCAATTTTGTAGTTGTGATTTGATTTTTTTTTCTTCCTAAATGCAGTTCTTTGCACTTGTCTTTATTGAATTTCATCTTGTTGAATTCAGATCAATTCTTGAATTTGTCAAGCTCATTTTGAATTTTAAACCTGTCCTCCAAAGTGCTTACAACCCCTCCAGCTTGGTGTCCTCTGCAGATTTTAGAAGCATACTTTCTACTCTATTATCCAAGTCATTAATGAAAATATTGAATAGTACCAGATCTAGGACTGACCCCATTGGCATCCCAGTAGATATGCCCTCCTAATTTGACAGCAAACTGATAACATTTGGATACAGTCTTTCAACCAGTTGTGCACCCACCTTACAGTTATTTCATCTAGACCACATTTCCCTGCTTTGCTTATGAGAATGTCATGTGGAACTGTCAAAAGCTTTACTGAAATCAAGGTATATCACATCTCCTGTGTTCCTCCATCCCCTAGGTCAGTAATCCTATCAAAGAAGGAAATTAAGTCAGGTTAGCATGATTTGTTCTTGACAGATCCATGCTGACTATTCCTTATAACCCTATTCTCCTTCAAGTGCTTATAAATTGACTGTTTAATAATTGCTCCAGTATCTTTGCAGGTATTGAAGTTATGCTGATGGGTCTATAATTCCCCAGGCCCTCTTTGATTTCCCCTTTTTAAAGATAGGTACTACATTTGTCCTTCTCCAGTCTTCTGGGGACCTCTCCTGTCCTCCAGGAGTTCTCAAAGATAATTGCGAAGCGCTCCGAGATGCCTTCAGCTGGTTCCTTATGTACTCTAGCATGAATTTCAGCAGGCCCTTCTGACTTGAAATACATCTAACTTATCTAAATATTCGTTAACCTGTTCTCGTCCTATTTTGGCTTGCATTCCTTCCCACTGGTTGTCAATATTAATTGTGTTGAGTATCTGGTGGTCATTAACCTTTTTAATAAAGACTGCAACACAATAGGCATTAAGCACCTTGGCTCTCTTGATGTCATCAGTTATTAGCTCTCCTTCTCTGCTAAGTAGAAGATGCACATTTTTCTTCTTGGTCCTAAGGTATTTAAAGAACCCCCTCTTATTCTTCCCTTTTATGTGCCTTGCCAGGTGCAACTCATTTTGTGCTTTACCCTTTCTGATTTTTGTTTCTACATACATATGCTGTTCTTTAGTGTTCCTCATCAATTTGACCATGTTTCAACTTTTTGTAGAATTCCTTTTTGATTTTCAGGTAATTAAAGAGCTCCTGATGGAGCCTTATTGGTCTCTTACAAAGGAAAGATAGAATAGGATCAGAATAGTTTGCAGTTATGCCTTTAATATTATCACCTTGAGGAACTGCCAGCTCTTCTGAACTCATTTTTCCCTTAGTTTTTCTTCCCATTGGACTTTACCTGTGAGTTCTCGGAGTGTGTTAGTCTGCTTTTTTGCTAACCAGTAGAGTATTTAAAATATTGAACATGTATTTGAGGGAGGTGTGAGGTGAGAAATAGAAACAACAAATAATTGCCAAGTTAATTTATTAGCTACCGAGTATTCTAGAATAGTAATATCTGAAAGAAAAGTTTTATATATTGTCATCTACATCAAAGATACTTGGAAGTTGGAATTTTCCCTTGCCTTTTATGTCCTTATTCTGCTGCTTTTCTCCTTTCTTTCTTTCGAATGATGAAATCAGCATTTCATGATCACTTTCACCCAAATTGCTTTCTGCCTTCAAATTCACAGCCAATTTCTCCCTATTGGTCAGAATCAAGTCTAAAATATTTGTCCCCATGATTACTTTCTCCACTTTCTGAAACAAAAAGTTTTAAGGACTTACTGGACATTTTTTGTTTTGCCTGTATTACTTTTCCAACAGATGTCTGGGTTGTTCACGTCCCCCATAAGTACCAGATTTTGTGTTTTCGATATCTGTTTTGTTTTAGAAGTGCCTCCTCCTGATTTGGTGGTCTATAATATACCCATATTATGATGTCACCCTTATTTTTCCCTCGGTTATCTTTACCGAGAAACTTTCAACTTGTCTGCCTCTCACCACCTTCTGGACCTCAGAACAAGCGAATATATTCTTGATGCATAATGCTACGTCACCTGCCTGTCCTTCCTGAACGAATTATACCCCTCTATACCAATAGTCCAGTCATGAGATTTATCCCACCAAGTCTTTGGGATAAGCTAATTTATGTACCAACACTTCCAGTTCTTCCTGTTTATTCCCCATACTCCTTGCATTTGTGTATAGACATGTTGAGCAGATTCCCCCACTGATATCCCTCTTGTTGCTCCTGTGAACCTATTGTAATTTTCCATGTCTTCCTCCCTTCCCCCGAACATCTAGCCCTCTGTTAATATGGGTTTTTTTATACTTATGCGCTTTTGTCACCTGCCCACTTTGGACCTAATTTTAAGCCTTCCTTTATCCACATTTGGGTATGTTTTCACCCATGATAGGTACAAAATACAAGACAATTCCATTTTTTTCAAGAGGAACTACATGTCAAA